GTGGTACTATGGCTGCAACTAGGCTGACAGGTGCTCCGCTTGGTTTCATTGATTACAGGGTTTCTAACTTGTATATCAATGACAACAGGTGTTTTAACTTTTATTGTATTGAGTTTCTTCTCTGGGGTCTGTATTTTTTTTTCTTTTTTTAGGTTATTTTTTGGCCTTTTTGCCTGTATTTGAGAGTGCAGTTGAGAGATAGACAGGAAATTGAGGGAGAAGAATGGGGGAAGGACCTGCGGGAAAGGGCCATAAATGGGATTTGAACTCATGACCTCCGCGTTGGGGACTACAGCCCCTGTACATGGGACGCCAGCTCAACTAGCTGAGCTGTAGCGGCGCCTAGGTCTGTATTTTGGTAAATGGTAAATGGTCTGCACTTATCTACCTTTGCGGCACTCAAAGCGCTTTCCAATGTTTCTTATTCACCCATTCACACACACATTCATACACTAATGGCTACAGAGCTGCCATGCAAGGCACTAGCCTGCCATTGGAAGCAACTTCGGGTTCAGTGTCTTGCTCAAGGACACTTCAACTGTGGAGGGGGCGGGGATCGAACCGCCAACCTTGAGGACAACCCGCTCTACCACCTGAGCCAATATTGTCTTTCTCAGTGATTTGTTTAATTGTTCATAGGAGGAAACACTTGACTCTTCGATTTAGAAAAAATGCAGCTATTGTGAGGTGGTTCAATGTTGAATCATTGGACACGTCAGTGATACTGCACAGGTCTGTACTTTTGTAATCTGTGTATTTAAAGGTATACAAGGAGTGGACAGAATAACAGCAACACCGGGACCTGCATGTTCCAGCATGGAGGTTGTTTTAAATTCACAAATTCAACGTATTTTTTTGTGTCTCCTTCTTTGTGCTCGTCCTCTTAAGCTTAATTGTGTTATTGAGTCTCTGTGTCCTTTGCCTCAGTATGTCAGTGGATATGGAGTTGATGTCTTCCTCTGATAAGCATTCCAGGTAAGGCAAGGTTGTGCCGTGAAACACTTTCAACCACAGGGATGGTAGAGCAGCAAAGCTAATTGGTTTTTAACATGGAATTACAGATTATCTTTCATAAGCCTCTTCTCTTCTGCGAGCAAATAAATCATGTGTGAATCTCATACAAATTCACATGCACTGAGACTCACATCCAGGAGGAAAGTCAATCTTTTTATATATCAAAAATGTTGAGAAGATAAAAATCTAACTAATAACTGAGCAATGATGTTTTGTGTGTGTGTGTGCGCTTAGTATTTTTTGAATGCAATAAAAGCATGTATCTAGAAATCCAGAAGACCTCACTATCAGAAGTTAAACTTAGCTTACAATACCTTTATCAGTTAAAATGACTGTGGTGCCCAAACTTCTCCAAATGTCAGACTGAATTTAGGATAATCAACAAATATAACAAGTGAAATCCACTGCAGTGCTGTCCAGTACTAATGTTATCCACCCACCTTTTTGAGGCAGTGCATACGGGGTCGGAAATGTTGTACCCGGTCCGGGCGGGTTGTTCTGATCGTCATATTTGCAGACAGACAAAAACCAAAGCAGATGTTAAAAAATAATAAAATAACTTTAAAAAATCCTGATGTGAAATCTTCCAGTTATATTAGGTGTAGCTGCTGCATGTCGTGGACATGAACACACTCCTCCTGTGTAGGGGTTGTAAGACGGGATAGAGAGGATGGATTTATCTGCCAATCAGCTTCAGGAAGCTTTTCCTCTCATCCCCAGTTACAGAGAAAAGCTCTGCTGGGGTTCGTCAATGAGAGAATCAGAACAGAGGCTGTATCACAGTTTTGACTTTAAACGGCTGTTTGGATGCAGGAGAGCGTCACAATGTCCTAGAACTTCACAGGTGGTTGACTACTTATATTAAAATACATCCATCCATCCATCCATTATCTACACACTGCTTAATCCTCATTAGGGTCGCGGGGGGGCTGGAGCCTATCCCAGCCGACTTAGGGCTAAGGCAGGGGACACCCTGGACAGGTAACCAGTCTATCACAGGGCTACACTTAGAGACAGACAACCAAGCACACTCACATTCACACCTACGGACAATTTACAATCACCAATTAACCTCAGCATGTTTCTGGACTGTGGGAGGAAGCCGGAGAACCCGGAGAGAACCCACGCTGCACGGGGAGAACATGGAGACTCCACGTAGGAAGAGTCCGGTGCCCCCACCGGGACGCGAACCGGCGACCTTCTTGCTGCGAGGCAACAGTGCTAACCACTGAGCCACCTTGCAGCCCTAAAATGCAATTATTTAAATAAAAATACTTAAAGTGCAGTATAAGGTGGAAAAAGGTTTAAAAATAACATGATCACGTCATGATGTGCAACACCTTGAACATCCACTGCAACAAAATCGTACCAGTAAAATTTGATTTGAATGGTCGGGCTTTAAAATGATAAAACCATGTCCTGAGTTTTAGCTTTGGAACTGGCTGCTGTGGGAGAAACATCAGAACTAGGGAACTGGAGCTGGTACACTAGTTTGGCATTTACCCTCATAAGTTCACTGGGACACAAATCTATGGGATTTGAGAATTATTAAGTGATTTTTATTTTATTATAACCAGTCCCTTTTCTGCGTAATAGTTTACCTCCACATATCAGAGTGTCTGTCCAGTCAGGTGCTCGGATGTTGCTGCAGAATCTGACCACAGACCGTATACAGTGTATAGAAGTATAGAATGTATACACGGTCTATGGTCAGAGTCTATAATGCTATAGACTGTATAGAGTTTATAGCATTATAAACTCTATACAGTCTATAGAATCATAGACTATATACAGTCCACGGTAGTGGTCAGAGTTTATAATGCCGTAGACTGTGCACACCCTATAGATGTATCTATAGATGTATCTGTAGATGTGTAGTCTTTGGATGTGACCCGCCCAAACACTGGAGCTGCGCGTTCACCAGCATCTGTACCACTCACTGCTGCGTTCATGAATATCCAAAATATTGGACATTTGTTCAAAGTACTAAAGTTTACCAAAAAAAAAAGTCAATCTGAAAATCATTGGACTGAAGTTTGCTGTAGAGTAACCATATAACTGAAGCATATTTTAATAACAACAACAAAATCACAATGCAGTCATGGCAATTCGAATTTTTATTTTTATTTTTTTACGTTATATACATTTAGCTAGTTTGTCAGCAATAGAGATTTTTTCTGAAAAACGAAGCCGGCATCTGAAACTTTTTAACACCACTTCAGGTAATTTTGTCATGGGGAAGTTCAGCTGTACGGTCTGAACCGCGATGCTCTCAGTGAAAGTTGAGCGTTCGTTATTCCGGAGGCCCCTGAACGCAGCCTCGGACAGGCGGAGCGCGTGCTCGTCGCCGTCTATCGATGAAGTTGTTTCAAAGATGGCGGACTTCCTGCCGTCCCGCTCCGTTTTATCGGTGTGTTTCCCGAACTGTCTCCTGACCAGCGGGGAGGCCGAGCAGCTGCGGAAGTCTAAGGAGATCGATAAGTGTATTAACCGGGACAAGACGTACGTTAAACGGCTGGTGAAGATCTTATTGCTCGGAGCGGGAGAAAGCGGCAAGTCCACTTTCCTGAAGCAGATGCGCATTATTCACGGGCAGGACTTCGATCAGAAGGCCAAGGAGGAGTTCAGAGCCACGATTTTTAGTAACGTTATTAAAGGTGAGACTTCCCGGAGACCCGCCGGGTTTCAGGGCGAAGCTGCCGGTCCGCGGCTCCGCTACCAGTAGCCGCTATGCTAGCTGCTGCTGCTGCTGCTGCTGCCATCTGTGGCTCCACAAAGCGGCGGCTGAGAAACGCCCATGTTATTTATGTGGTCGGACCGGGACGGGATCGGACCGGGGGCCGGGGACGGGACCGGAGGCTGTGGGGCTCATAGTCGGTACTGTTAGGAGCCTGTCGGTGTTCATACGGTGTCATTTCGACAGGTTCAGCAGTGGTCCTCATGGCTGCTGTTGGCTCTGAACTGGTTCACTGTGCAGGAAGAAAAGCCTGTTTACTGCTGTTATCGATCATTTGCATTATCGATCTGTTATTATCTGATGAGGACAAGAAGCCAGCATAGGAGAACCTGTCTAACTGGGAGCCTTTTCTAAACATTCACATATTGATAAATGGTATCAACGTGGATGTAGTGGTGCTGGATGGTAAAGTATATAACATTTCTAACTGTGAACAGGTGACGTTACTGGACAGGTAGGTCAGTGTTTCATCACAAAGCTAAACAATGACTCC